AAGTAGCTGGAACTACAGGCACGCGCTACCACACCCGGCTAGTTTTTGATTTATTGTAGAAACGAGGTCTCGTCAAGTTGCCCGGGCAGGTCTTGAACCCACAGGCTCAGGCAATTCACTTGCCTTGGCCTCCCAAAGTGCTGGGGTGACAGGCTGAGCCACCGAGCCTGGTCAGCTACGGGTTTCCGATCAGCCCGCACCACACTGAAAATGCTCCCCCTTGGGAGCAGCCATGGCATGGTGCCACCGTCACAGTCCATTTCCCGTTAGCACCCTGACCCCCTAAAATGAAGGGTGGATGAGCTGATCCTTGAGTTCTCTTCCGGCGTTTACATGCCATGACTTTATCAGGCAAAACTCTGCTGGAATGCGGCAGGATGTGGAAACCAGTACATAGATCCTGACCTCCTAACCTTCCTTTCTGCCTTTCCCATCATCTGTTTACCAGAGATCTGGCTTTTAGAAAATGAAGGCCCCTCGATCTGGGGTTCAGACCTTCTCTCCATCCAGCCACTGGGCCATTTTATCTAGGCAAGCGTAGGCAGCTCTCATTTTGGCCAACATTGAGTGAGGATTTAGCCTCTGAGTCACCCAGTGTATGCAATAAAACAAATTCCTCTCATTTTCTGACCCGTCTTCCTGAGATGGCAGATATGGTGTGCCTTTATATAGATTTCTCCTTTTCTAAAGGACAATCCAGGCTCATTTTTTTAAATGGCCCTAAGCATCACTTGATTTGGGACAGGCGATGGTTCTGGGCTGGTAAACTCTACCTATAAGAAGAGCAGACTGAATTAGGAGGATAACACCTGATCAAACTCACTTATCATGACCAATTCTAGCAGCGTTTTAAAGAGCAGTCCCAACAGTGGTGGGAATCTATGGGGGAGAGGGGAAGGGAGGTGGGATTAACGGTAGTCAATTTCTGTCTGGGGACGGGGAGACACCCCTTATCAACAAGGGTACCTGAACGAAGCATATTTGTATACCTAACCCTTAAATGCACCCCACCATATCAAAATAAAAAATATTGATATATAAAAAAATAAATAAATAAAGAGCAGTCCCAGTCGGACACGGTGGCTCATGCCTACAATCCCAGCACTTTGTGAGGCCAAGGCAGGAGGAACCTGCTCAGGCTAGAGACCAGGAGTTCGAGACCAGCCTAAGCAATATAGCGAGACCTGTATCTACAAAAAAAAAAATTGCCGGGTGAGGTGGCGCACACCTATAGTCCCAGCTACTCAGGAGGCTGAGGTGGAAAGGATCGCCTGAGCCCAGGAGGTTGAGGCTGTGGTGAGCCATGACCATGCCACTGCACTGGGCAACAGAGTGAGACCTCAACTTTTAAAAAAAGAGCAGTCCCCTTAGGATAAAATCCAAAATCTTTAACAAGATCCCTAAAGCCAGCACCTCCCTCCTCACCTGCACCTCGCTGCTCAGGACCCTGG